GTGATTGTTTCAGACATCTAAGATGGGTTCACCAGATATTGAGTCCACTTTCAATACTATTGTTGATGTATTCTTGTTTCTTGACAAGAATGGAGATGGGAAATTGAACAAGAAAGACATGATCAAGGCATTGAATGATTCCACTCCATGGGAAAAATCCCCAGCACATGTCACTAGGACCAGATTCAGTATAACCCACTTCACACACCATGTTTCAACTTTTTTATGATTACAATAGCATCTCTTATATGTTCTACTAATCTTACTTACCTTTGGTACTTCTTTTGGAAAATACAGAGGAAATGGATTGGGTCAAGAAGGGGGAGGTTAGCTTCAGAGAATTCCTCTTTGCTTTCGTCAATTGGGTGGGAATCGACAATGATGAAGAAGAAATTACTGTGGAATGAAGCTAAGGGCCTATTTGATGCAGCTTGTTGGAGCTTTTTTTTTTTTTTTTTGTACTATTCATGAGTGATAAGTTTAAATTTTTATTTGAGAAAAAATTTAAAAGTTGCTTTTAGAAATAGAAAAAAGTGAGTAAAAATGGAGATTGTGAAAATTTTGAATTTGAAGCTTTTGGGCTTTTACTGTTTAAGATCTTTTTAAGGTTAAAAAATATTTTTAAAATGTAAGTTTTTAAGAGAAAAATTTAAACTTATAAAATATGAATAGTGTCAAAAAGCTGAAGCTCCTAGAAGCATTATCAAACAGGCTCTAAGTATTCCATAGAAAATTAAATACTCTTCAATAAGATCGGCTCCTTGCATTTGTCTTGTGCATATAATCCTTCTATTGTGTTAGATATATTATATGGAAATGCAATACATGCTAGCAAGTGCTGAGAAAGATCAATGCAAACCCATTACATGTTAGAAAATATATCTTTCCTTGTGTTAGCATGAATGTTGAGACTAATCTTTCACTAATCTAGTAAAAGAAGGTCATCTATCTTAGAACTAAAGAATTTATAAATCGTATTAGCTAAATCACTATTACTTTTTAGATAATCAAATTAGTGCATTAGTTATTATTGTTTTTATAAAAAATGAAAATCTTGTTTTATAATTCAGGTTGTATTGAATTATAAAATAAAGATCATTAGTTAAGAAGGCTCTTAATATAGTGCAGTCCAGCATAGTTTAGATTGTATAATATTTTTTTGATAAAAAAATTATATATATATATTTTTAAGAAAAAAAAATGAGGAATGAAAAATGTAGTACAAATTAAAATATGGAAGAAAGAAGGAAAATAAAAAAGGAAGCTACCTGAAAATAAGTTTACTGCTAGTTAAAACGGGAGTTTATTAGTTAGCGTGCTACTTAAGTAAAACCCTCACTCCTCGTTTTCCTCGGACAAGAAGCTGCAAAACCTACTTACAATGGAACACGTGCGGCGTGTTTCTATATTATTCATTCTCTTTCAGTAGCTGGACTGCAATGCAAATGCAATATCATTTGTAAGAACTTCAGAAATCTCTTCATTCGACAGCAATAATGGAGGTTCTTCCAGCCCTTGCCCACCCCACAAACACCGTAATATTCTTTCCGGCACCGCCGCCGATCTATTTCCGTTACGTACCTGTCTTGCCACCGATCATAACTTCTTGCCGCCAAAAACCTATCCCTAAACCTACAAAAAGGACCATCACCGTCAGATGGCACCCTCCACCTGTCGGTTGGGTGAAAGTTAATGTTGATGGGAGTTCCAAAGGAAACCCAGGAGAATCAGCCGCCTCAGCCATTTGCCGATCGAGCGAAGGGAAGTGGATATTCGGGTGTACTACCAGAATAGGTTTTACAAATAGTTTCATGGCTGAGGTTTGGGGTATCGTGCAGGGTCTGACCATGGCTTGGAATTCTGGTTTTAGGAAAGTAATTCTAGAGTCCGATTGTTTGGCTGCGGTTAACAGAGTCCTGGGAGAAGATTACCAAGACCCCAAACATTTGTGCAGCCATTTGATTCTTGCTTGCAGGCAGCTACTAAAGAGGGATTGGATTTGCCAAGTGAGGCACGTCTACAGGGAAGCCAACTTCTGTGCAGATTTCTTGGCTTCCAATTTTCGGCATTTGCCAATGGGTCGAAACTATTTCATCGCACCTCCACCTGAGCTGGAAAAATTGATGGAGGAAGATCTAGTTGGACCGGGTACAACTAGGATCATAAAGTGTTAGTTTTGGTTTTTATTGAAACATCTACTGAAGCAAAATGTAATTCTTAGTGTTAACACCTTAATTAGTTCTACAAAATGCATATGCATGCGTTAATTTTTTGTTAAACTTTTGTTCTACATTGCAGATATGTATTCATTTTTTGATGAGTTTAAATGGAAATGTTTGTTGATTTGTTAGAGTTAAATGAAAATGTTACTACTTTATTATTTTTTTTTTTGAATGTATTTTTTTATTTGTGTAGTGGCTTATAAACCAATTATAAATTGATAAATTAAATCACTATAAAACTCATATAAATATGTTATTTCATAGTTCATTTTACACTATTAGCATTTTTTTAAATTATTAATATATAGATGACCTCTCAATATTAAGAATGTTCCTCCGTTAATGATTATAAGAAATGTAATCTGCGTAAATTGGATTGCACTTCACTTTTTTAAATTTACAATTAATTAGTAACTCTTTAACAAAAAAAAATATTTGTTTAACAATTGTTATATAGGTGTTATTTTATGTATAGAAGTTGTAACATATAAATTTCTTAGATCTCCGCTCTTTGTATTATTTTTACTCAATCCATTGTAATATGTGTAGGAGACTAGGAGCTACAACTTAAAAAAGTATATAGTGCTCAAACTAATAATTTATACCTATCATGCATTGTTTACTCTATCAAGACAGCTGATAAATTATACCTATCATGCATTGTTTATCCTTCTCTGTTATCCTCAAACTAATTTGATGGCTCTCTTTAGTGGATGTTTCCTGCAAATAGTGCTAATAAATTAACACCAACTCTAATTGTGCTGCAAGCTGTTTCTTCCATTGATTGCCTTGGACAATAGTTTTCTCTTCTTTCACTATTTGTGCTCATATCATTGTTTACAGGTGCAGAAACTATAGCTTTTTAAATATAAATTCAATACTTAGGAATATACTTAACATTACATTTAAAGAATAATTTGAATTGAATGCACTTCAAGTTTACCTGTTATTCATTCTTGTGTTACTGCTTCAGGAGAACGAAATTGTGTTTAAATTATTTGAGGATTTGAATGTGCAGCATTCTAGTGATCTTCCTGAAATGCTGTCTCCTGCCAGTGGACTCCAAATTCTGCAAGTAAATTTACATCTACCCTATTTCTCTAGTTCTTCCATGGGTTGCTTGCTTGTGTTACTACACCTGGAACTGAGTTCTGTGCCATTGTCTTATAGTTAATGAAAAGATATTTTGAGAAGCTCTTATAGATAGTTTACTCTCTATTTTTTGGGCATACTCTACTGTTCAATAACCTTCAGTTACAAATTCTGTTTTTTATTTTTTTAAATGTCATGATTTCAAATTATTAATACATACTGTTTTAAGTTGGTTCATTTTTAAAGCATGATTGCGGTTTAACCATTGCAGTTTCTATCCTTTTCACAAATGCATGTAATTATGTACCTAGCGCTGTCTTACATGTCTCTCTATCAGTAGAAATGTTGTAATACATGTAATCATCAAAGCAACACTTCATATTTCAAGCCATATTCCCAAATGTTCACAATACCTAATTCTAAATTCCGTCTTGTAGAATTGCATATGCCTCATCACAAATAAAAGCATCTCTGCGGATCAACCGATGATCGAGCAAATTTGGGGGTAGTTTCTTGAAGTTTTCTCTAATGGGGAAGAACGTGATACACCAGAAGCATTAATCTGAGAAAAAAGGGGACAAAATATAAACGACTTGAATGGTTGTCGTTTTGGGCCACCTAAGCCCATTAAGGCTGTTATTGGAAGAGCCTTTAATAGCTTAGATAGATTAGATGGAGAGGTGTGTTTTCGACATCGAAGTTCAAACTCACCCCTAAGATGTCTGCAGGCGACTGCAACCCCTTCCCCCAATCGACAAGCGGAAAAGCACCTGCAACTCCTCCAAACCCTAATCCTAAAATTAAACCAAGCCGAACCAATTTTACTTCAGAAATAAGCACAACCATCTGCAATTCCCCTTCCTTCACACCTAAAAGAAGAAAAAAGACCCCTGTAACTAATCGTAATCTCTCGTCCTTTGTTGATGGAAGGCTCCTGCATTGCCGAGCTAATCGTAATTCAGATACAGCGCAGCAAACCCAATTCCCTCCGGATCTTATAGAGGTAATTCTTTTAAGGCTTGGCGTCAAATCTCTGCTTCGATTCAAATGTCTATCCAAGCAGTGGTTTCTTCTACTTTCCAATCAACAATT